CCTAAGTGTCAGCAGGCTTCCTTTGGTCACTAAGGCTTCCAAATTTAGGATGGGATCTGCAGCTGTCCTTACACAAATATTGCTGTCAGCAATGTATCCAACTTCGGGGAGCAGCCTCCTCTCTTAGATTTTCACTTCCCCTTTGGGGCCCCAATCCTGCCCCCTCTCCAACTCCTGCTGCTTATATGGGTTTCTGGAATATTCACAACCATCCTGCGACGGGGGTATTCTTATTCCTGTTTTACTGATGAGGAAATTTGAGTTCAAAAAGGTTAAGGCATTTGTGCTGATATACAGGAAGTGGGAGAAATAGGAACTGATCTAACACCAAAGTCCATGTTCTTCCCATTGTAATACTGTCTGTCTCTCACAGTGGATTGGGGGTGGGGAGTGGGGGAGGGATAGCTGCCTTACTGAAGATTTTTTATTATCCCTTATCAGATACAGATTACATCTCGTTTTCCCTTTTGCCTAGGATGCCAGGAAGCTCAGAGCTAAATGTGGTGGTTATCTCAGGTTCCTTGTACAAGTTCCTCTCCCCTTATCAGTGGTTTCTGATATCTTTAAAAAAGAAATCTCTCCTGGGTTAAGCATACAAATGATAAATAAGCTGCTTCTGGAACTCATCTGCTCTTCCTACTTCCTGACACCAGCTTCTAGCTTTCAGCTCATTACCAGCATTAACTTGCCTCTCCTTTGTATCTAGGTGGTTTTCGTGTCACTTTGGACAATCTCTAATCCATGTCGCTCAGGTGGTCATCAGCTACTTCCTGATGCTGGCTGTAATGTCTTATAACACCTGGATTTTCCTCGGTGTGGTCCTGGGCTCAGCTGTGGGCTACTACCTAGCCTACCCACTTCTCAGCATCAATTAGCCGGCGAGGGCTGTGCAGGCCCTGAGGGCTGCAGAAAGCTGGGGCCCCCTCTTCCAGGCATTGTACTTCCAGCCCCAAGTCTCTCTCTTCTGATGACTGTTCCTCACCTCACTCCCAGCTCCTGGGAGCTTTCAGCTGAAGCCAGCACTTGATCCCTGGAGTTCAGAGGCCATTGCAGCTACCTCTCCTCAGAGAGACAGCCCAGGCGTAGTCTTGTTGTGCCTCGGAAGGCTGCTGTGACCAGCAGAATGGAGAGACCACCACCCGGGGGAAGGATTGTTGAGCCCATGATGACTTAACTGTCTGACTCAAAACGTACGAATTTCCAAAGATCTTCAGGACCGGGAGATGGGTTCTGGGTGACGGGCACAGAACCTGGATACCCTTTGCTTTCCTGATTTGTGCCTTATCTAGAGGAGTATCTTCTATTGGACTTTCTGACCTCCTCTGTCTTTGGGGGACAGAGACCAAGCTGGCTTTTTTTTCTCACCTTTCTGCCTTTGGAACA